ATCAGGGTAGTCTGGCCATAGAGCTGCAGAAAAAAAGAAGAAAAAACACGGTTACACTCATAGTGATCTCAACGAATCGCCCAAAGTTCGACGGGCCTATGCTTACACCCTAAGTCCTCGAGTACTGCGGGGTAGGGTGGTGGGAGATGCTCGAATAGGTGACCAACCTCCATGTAATTTGACCAATAGAACACGGTGGAGTAGGGCCCAATACAGTTAGGTGGAAAGCAGTACAAGTATCTATTGGCGCGGTGGATGGTGGTTGTTGCTCATGTCTAACTAAGAGGGGAAGAAGTCAGACTATATACGGGACATTGGGTAAATGCCAAGACATCCTTAAACAGGGAATTCAATAGGGTGAAAGACCCACTGCACCAAAAATGACCACCATCAACCAAACGCATGATACAAGTAGAACCCCTCCACAATTGTGCTGCGCTGCATAATTCGCGTTACACGCACTTCCCTGGGATGGAGAACCTGGATTGGGATGCTTCGCAGTTTTAGTACCGAATTCTGATACCGGTCACATGCACCCAAATTTCGGCCAACTAACCTAGGCCACTCTCCGAATCTATCAGGTGTCCGAGCGAGGAGCGGGCCCCCGGAACTTATTAGAGGGTTTGCGCAGTAAGACCTAGGTTGTGTTAATATAAGCTAACAACAAGGCTTAGCCACCTGGTTCTTTCGTCCCACCTAGTCAAGGTGTAAAAGCCCGAAAATCGGACCTAGAATTGAGGACCACAAATGCCCTCTCCCACTGCGCTTTTATGCCTCTATTCAGGTATGATTTTGTGGCTATTCTTCTCAAGGACAATCTTTGACAAGGACAGAATTCAAGAAAGTTAAGAATTAGCTGATGTACTGACCTCTTAAATGGATGGAGTTTAAGAAACTCGACAATTGTCGGGAGTCTCATGGGCTGTTGACGGGAGTGGCAACCCCTAGCGATATTGTTAATAACTCACACCTGGGTCTATCTGCGCAAACTCTCTATTGACCGGTTTCATACCAGCTTTGATGTAATTTATTGCAATTTCAAGCCTGCGGAGGGAATGCTTGACAGAATTTTAGACCCATGGTTGGATATTTTGGTATCAAGGTTCGTGATGCCATATCTATTATACTAGTACAGTCACCAGACAAAGGTCTCGGTGATTGCACCATACTCGGACAAACTACAGCAACGGTGGGAAGAGGGTGTTAAAAGTTCCAAACAAACAAACATTGATCTGAGAATGCGCCCCTTCCAAAGCCCAGCACTTTTTCTCGTACCATCCGATACTGGTGCTCATCGCGGCGATGGTGAGAGAGGGCACCGAGCCCCGCACTTTCTAAAGACTCGGAATCTATCACTGGTAGGTGTAGCCTCTCGTGTCCGCGAGAGACCTCAGCTACCGTATGGCAACCAGGTTCGGGCGTACTGTATCTACTATAGGTCTAGGCTTGCGTGTCTGTGCAAGGAAGTCTTGCTAGACCAAGGGCACTGACTGGGGTTGCTAGCAAGCGAGAGATTCGAGATCTATCCAATGGACGTATGGGACATGCAGGTTCCCCGCCCTTCGTGTATCGTAACTCTACGTGTCTCATCCATTCATCGAATACTCGAGTAGAAAACCAGAACGACAACGCGCCAGCTCATCCCTATCTCTGGACCACAGCAGGCACTTGGCCTTGTGCATTGAGTGGTTACCCCTCCCGGGAGGGATTATCGGTATTGCAGTTGTTGGTTGGTGCAATAGGTTTAGTACGATTTTCAGATGGGGATGGGTTTACTCTCGTTCTGCGGTTGCCGATCAAGCCTCACCAAGGCTTCTGTCTAGTGTTCGTACCTTATACGGTGGCGGTGCATGAATTCCTTTACTCGTAACCCGGAGCACATTACCCGTAATTTTATGCCACAAGAGATGTCAGGCGCTTGTATCCACCTCTGGTTAGTGTCAACATTTAGTGTTGGCCATGAACACAAGGTAAGGGATCTACTCGAGTACTCGTACGAAGTAGAGTACCGTACCGTACCGTATTACCGTATCTTCTGTTATCCGGAAATTCGCCAAGACCGGGCGTTGCTTAAGGTTGGACGATGCATGAAATCAAAAATCGGCCCCTTCAATATACGCAGTTAACATGGCAACTATAGAGTGGTTATAGGTGTCTACAACAATGCGGCTGAGGGTGTCACAATCACTCATTTACAAGGGTTGCATGTTGGGATGGTGATCAGACAAAAGTCACGCACTTAGTGTTGGATTGCTGGACATCTAAAACCAGCCAGTGGTTACCATGTTAAGTGGGTGTATTGAAGGAGCCGATTTCTGACACCATGCACCGTCCGACATTAGCAACGCCCGGTCTTGGCGGATTTTCGGATAACAGAAGATAATACTTGTACGGTAACATAACACCGCACGCCATTCCAAATCTGGAAACACCGCTATAAGGTTCCCGATATAGACTAGTAGCTCATCGTCGCATCCAGCACTTTCTGAGACTTGCGGTCGAGGCGCGCGCGCTTTCAAACGCTGCCACTTGCTTCTTAGCCATTTCTGACATAGTCTAGGCCCCCAGCTGTTTCTTCTTCAGCACTTCCCAACTCCGGTATCTGAGGCCCGACTCCACCTATTCTGCTTCCTTCTTAGCATCTTGCTTCCTCCCTTTTCCTGACGAACGTATACGACCCTTCATGTGGGAAAGACCCTTGGTTCAAGTTTTGGCGCATATCTCGGACGCATTCGGCTACCCTTATAGCTTTTCAAAAGCTCTAATAACCGCAAGGACTATCTTTAGCTTGAATCCTCATTCCCAAATAGATATAAACAAATAAACGCAACCAGCGAGCTCCCGGGCCTACTCTATGGGTTTTGTATTAGCTCCTGGGCTTCGCGATGCTCCTTGACACCGTTTTCACCATCCGTAGAGGTCTGTCTCCGAAGCACCGAATCCACATCTTGTCGCGGCAACACTCGAGTTGGGCCACATATGTCCGCCCTCGTGACTTATGATATCCCTCCCCAATGCCCGCCCAATTGTCCGCACAATTTTCAGGCACTCCCGTGCAGCCTTCGTAGTGTATAAGGGGTTGGTAGGTGGGTGTAGATGCCCTGGTCTGTTCCCGGTCTCACAGCTCCCAGGTGTGCAAGCTATCTCTAGAGAAGTAATGCGGATCTTCGGGTGTGGGCAAGAAAAGAGTATTCCATAATACGAGTCAGGAGCAATGAAAGGGGTTTAGATTTCATGACCCCCAAGTATAGTCTGAGATCGAACTTGAAGAGGTTTCCTTCTCCGGTAGACTATAATGCCACGAATAGCGCAAGACAACGAACGAAACGGAACAACAGGAGGGTATAGAATCAGAGTTTAAGCTGTTAGTTAAGTAAGGCTTCAAGACTCGCAACTGTGCACAGCCACGTGATCGAGTTCCGCAGCAACTTTGGCTCCTCCTTGTTACTAATCCAATCACAGCATCTCACTCGCCAAAGAAATACCCACCCGTGCACCTCCACCAATATTTGGCACCGCTGGCTATCTTAGGAAGCAAGGTATTATACCTGTTAAGCCCCTAACTCACAACTAGTATTCCCTACGACCCGAGCACGACTGGAGCTCATCTAAACTTTGGCTCGAGCTCTTTCAAACAACCTCATCCCTCATTTCAAATCGGTAATGAAGAGGGGGAGAGACCGGTATCTTTAAGATTACCTTGTATATGTCGTGGAGGTACTAGTAGGCAGGGGAGAAAGAAACCCATCAACTCCAAATTTTTCCCATTCCCCAGGAAGCTGTGCGCACACACTCACCTTTGTTGCCCCAACTCGGAGTGGGGAGCCTAGCACAGATCCCCCTTTATTCCTAATTTGGCTGGACCCATGGGGGGTTGAGGATCGGGGAAGTGGGTTAGATGGCGGTGAAGAGTCCTAAGTAGGGGAAGTCAATCAGATTTTTCGTAAGCATACAGCTCTCCATTGATTTACACAAGTTAAGGCTGGCTGGCTGGCTGGCTGGCTGGCTCCCTAAGCGGAAAACTCATATGCGCGGCAGAATTTAGAGATCTAGTTTTTTCGCACGTTCAATATTTAGAACATATCCTCCTACTCGAGTTCCCTATACGGATTCCGTTATATATGTTAGAAATAGTAGTTGATAGCCGCACCTAGTGCGAGATGTGCCCGCACATGGAGGCTGTAGTGGTCTATGTACGCATCGCCGAAGGAGGTGTGAGCTATGAAAAACATCTCCTAATCCCTATCTTTTCTTCCTTCCTGTTGTCTCTCGCAAGACACCTCTTCCTGTACGTCAACCTTCTCTTCAAGTTCTGCAATAAATCGTGGTCTTCATATCCACCCAAGTCATACCTTTATGTCTCCACTCGACCCGTTCCACTCCAGCGCGTAAAACCCTCACCATCAATCATTACCTCCGTAACAATCATCTTCAACAGTATCCCAGCTCGTTTTAGCGAGTGATACTATGTGACCACTAACAAAATCTGGCTCGCCCGAGGGGGCTTGTGAGAAACACTGCCCGCAAAGATACAGGCACCCCCGGTATACGATCCGGAATACATGCCATCCTGAAGAGTTGCGCTCTGTCCCTGAACATTCCGAGGTTTCCAAAGTCTATTTGACCTCGCTGTGATCAATAGAGTATACGTACAGTACTCACCCTATGACAGGGATTGAACCCCGGAAGAGCAAAATTTGGGGAAATAATCTTCAGGCTCCGGGCTAATGGTTTCCCACAGCACCGGTCGAGAACCTCATATACCGTAAGTGCTTTAGCACCCACATACGCCAAATGGGAACTCCAAATCTCGGCGGGGAAGCGCAATCTCGCACACTCGCGAATCGCAGAGATTCCGTGTATTCGAGAGAACCGGTTGCCCATAAGTTAGAGGCACAACAGAATCACTCGACGCCTGTGCTGCCGCTTACGGGAATACGGTCCGCTTTCCCGATCCCTGTATCTCCCATCAACCGGCCTCCCCAGATGCGACCGGCGGGCAAACCTAAAACGAGCAAGTTTATTGCATTTTCCCCAACGCCGTGCCGTCCGAGATTCCGGTGCACTCCCATTTAACAAACTAACCATCAATCCAGCCATCTGGTCACCCAGCTAGTTGTGCCATCATACATGAGCTAGATTAAATCAGACCAGCCCGTCAAGGTGCCCATCAGCATCCTTCCCGGGCCTCTATCGAAAGAGGGAAAGAAATGGCGGAGAAAAAAAGCCGCAATTTCTACAGCCAACCAACTGGATAACATACACCTCTACCTTTCAGAAACACAAAAATGGAGCACAATATGGGTGGGTGAGACAGGGCAATTGAGCGACTCAAGTGAAAATGTATAGCCAGCAAAGAAAGTCTGAAAAGAAAGATAAGAAATACATAGGAGCATCAGAAGCCCCTCAAGTAAATTGCCATAAGCGGTGTCGACCACACAACTAATCCCCACCCTTCCTCAAGTCCACTACGTCGAACCCCATCTCCCTGACTTCAATTACATGTCCCGGCCGCATAGCATCGGTGTAAACATTCAATTCGCCGTGTGGGTGAAACAAGCTATCTTGGCGGCAGGTCTTGATCGTTTCAATGCCGGGCGGGCTGGTGAGGCGGAAGACGCCCCAACTAGATATTTCATGAGCAAATAATAAGGAAAGGAGGGATGGGGAGCATACGAAGGCTGATGTCTCGGCGCACACACAATCGCGATACTTTCAGTCAGCATCAATTGATACGAGCAATGGGTGTGCAAGTCTACGCTGCTCATGAAGCATGTCTGTGTAGGATGGGTATGAATCCAACCAAGGACCATTAGGTCTTCTCTATCGACGTACTCAAAGAGGCCTTCTTCATCTTTTGTCGAGCAGGTGTCACTCGTGGCTTCCTGCTCAGGTATGACTAAGCGGGAGACGAAGAGTGCGTTTTGTACCAGAGTTCCGCAAAGGATGCCACAGGTTTCCAGGTTGCGTTTTGTATTCGGCTCTGCCATTAGGAGGAATTGTTGACGGAGGGTGGCGGGAAGGAAAATGGTGCGAAGTGGAGTTCCATTCTCAAGAGTTGCTGGTGTGCTGAATTGAAAGCCCTCGGGGGTAGTAGGGACGTGCTTTGTGGCGGCGGGCTTTGTGGTGGTAGATGAGGACGGAAATTTTGGTAAAGGTGGTGGCGGTAAGGGAGCATGATTGTGGGCGTAGGGAAGTGGTTTCTTGTGTGGAACAGTAGGTGCGGTAGTAGTAGAGTTTGACGAACCATCGTAGCCGTACAGAGGTGCCTTCGGAGGCGGAGTGGGCGTGACACTTCTGATTTCAATGTAATCCGCAGCCGGGTCAGGTATTGAAGGCGGTTCCATTCTTGTCAGAGATCTTCTCCTCTTTGGCACCGTGGGATAATTTCCCTGCCAGCTCCCAACATAATTTTCCCTCACCCTCTCCCGAGCCGGTTCCTCCAATCCGGAAAGCGTGCTACCAGTAGAGAGCCGGTAACTGTTTCCCGCAGAAGCCGGTCGCATTTGACCCTCCGTGAGATCGGCTTTCATATGCAGTGCCTCTATGCTCCTCGCTAAATCCCACTCCTCCTCCTGTTGCTCCACCACTCTTCTCCTGTGCTCTTCCTCATCGCGTGCCTGCTGGTATAACAGTCTCTCGTTCTCCTCGGGGGTCTCTCGGTAATGCACAGTATACCCTGAGTGCTCGCTTACGAAGCCATACCCGCTATCTCGGCCTTGACCGTTCGGTTGATATTGCGAGAGTAGATTCCTATAACTCTGCTCTACGGCAGCAGAGGCCGGTGTCGGTATCCGCTTTATTTCCAGCCCTCTAGAGTCCACTATGACATTGCCTCTACCCTGTTCGATGGCCAACTGCCGTCTTCTAGCTCGCTTTTCACGCTCCCGTTTTTCAAACTCCTGCTTTGCAATTTCCATAGCTAGCTGTGCACTATCAGCTGCAGCTGGTGCTAGCCCACCAGAGCTCAGTGATTTCTCCAGAGGTGGTGAAAAAGGACCGGTAACGCTGGATGTACTTCCACGACGACCGCCGCGGGATAAATCTAAGGGTTTTGGAATGGACGCTTTGAGCGATTGTTTTTGTGAAAATGAGAGAGCCGCGGCGGCGCCAGCGTATGGTATGGAAGACGAAGAGCGAGAGTTATGGCCAACGGGGACGGTGGGGGTAGAGGTGCGGTGTTCCCGGTAGTTGTCATCACGAGCTTTTTGAGTGGCAAGCTTGTAATGCTCATAACGGGCGGTGATACGCGGCTTCATGTATTCCAATCTCTTCAGAGCCTCGCTAGATCTCGCACGAACCATACGTAGACTCCGTTGATTCTCCTGTTTCTTGGCCTCCGGATGATCCTCTAGATGGCGAAATACGAGTCTATCCTCGTTAGCACAAACCCGCAGATTTGGAAGGTGAACGGAATTCTAGAGTGGCGCACTCTGCCTGTCGAACAAGTAACAGGTAAGCTTGTTGCTCATTTCCTTCGGCTTGATAGATTGCAGCCTGCGATAACACGGCCATTAAGTTATTCGTCCGTTAGGCAAGAAAAAATGCAGCAGATGGAGGAAACACACCTCCTTCAAAAGCGTATCCGCAGTTCGTAACCAGTACCTGAGGGCTATGAGCGGATTATAGTCAAAGTCAACCGCTTTGTCGGCGATCTCCTTGATACTCATAGGGGGAGTACGGTAAGGCCCCAGCGTCTCATCGTTCTCGTAAGCCATCTCGTAATGCACGCAATAATCGTCCTCCTCGACGATGACCTGTGATGTGTAACGGCTGGAATAGCTCTGTCGATGTCGATATGTGTACGGCGGGGTAGGGATGGGATGGCGAGGAGGGGCCGCCCGTCCAAGATATACGATGGACGCCAGTTGGGCGGTTGCTGCAAGCTGGCAGCGGGTATGATACCTAATAGAAAAGGCTCAGGACAAAAGGGGCGCGCTATGCGAGATAGATGGAAGGGTTCCAGTCGCCGCTATGTGGCTCACAGCAGTTTATCCGGGGGTTTTAGGATGTGGGTCGCTGTACGAATGAGGGAGCTATCTCGTTTCTGTTTTATGGTATCGTATTTTTCCGCCCCATTAACCGTGTACCAGTAGAATGGTTTCCTGCGATGTTGTGAGGGTTTGTATGTGTGATACGGGTATGTGCAAGTGCAATGCTGGTGGACCAGGTTGTTGATCGATTCGAGTGTCAGAGAATTCTAAGGGCTACAGTACTATGCAGTACGCTAGGCCTCCAGTCCTTGTATCATGCCGTGATGTCTTGTTGGTTGTCCACGAGTAAGTTTTGTCCCTCCACAGACTCGTCTCGTGCCCTTCGTGGCCCCCCCCAGCATACAAACGGTTCCCGTGCCGCAGCTGTGGACTTGCTGACTGCAGTGCCTTCCCACAGACACACTTGATTCCAGCAGGAACTCATCAAAGCCCCTACGAACTTCCCCCCCCCGTTCGAGCCGAACAGCTGGACAGCCGCCCTTCGCATCGGGTGGCGCCAAGTTGACCTGGATCCTGTAATAGCGTAGCGTGCCTCAACTAGCGCCAAACCACCGGTTTTTGCCGTCTTATCATATCATAGCAGCGTGAGAGCAGATGCTGTGGGTCTTGGCATCGATCTACCCTTAGGCTCACACGTGATCTATATCGAAATCTTTTTTTATTTGTTTCTACCCAATCCCATCCACCTCTCTCGTGACTGGCCATCGCCCCCGATACGACCCACGAAACCATGGCAGCTGCAAGCATATTTCGCAAGAGCGCTGATGAGTGCATCCCTCACCTTCGCTTATTGCTTAGTTCGTCTAGGCGGAGGGGTCTTCCCCCGTCACTGATCAATTGGCAGACTTGTGGTGGGTGGCTTTTCCTTCATTGCTCTATTTATTCGTCGAGGAACCGGATTGAGCGAGTGTGAGCTGATATTTCTTTGCGTAAATTTACAGGGCCGATAATTGACAAGCTAAACCTGCTCAGCTACAAAGAGCCCACGATAATAGACATGAATCCGGGTCCCGGAATCTTCTCGGCAGCACTGCATGAACGATTGCAACCGAAACAGCACATATTGCTGGAGCCCATAGAGATATACGGAGAAGGGATGAGGGAATTTCAAAAAACGTACAAAAACTCCTGGTATATCCCGCTGGACGGCTATGACTGGAATACCTACAACCAATTATTCTCCGACAAGCCGCCGCCACCCCCTTGGCCGGACGGTTTTCCCACACCAAATATCCAAACCGCGGCTTCTGGGGACATTAATTCCGAGTTACTGTTCGTCGGGAACATGGGTAAATCGGTGAAGAGCGAGAGATTGATAGCTCAATTCGTCAGTTGCTGTGCTTTGGGAAGTTGGGTTCAACGGTATGGACGCGTGCGCTTTCTACTATGGGTGCCCGACTCGATCAGGGATAAATACCTACCCCGGAGCATAGCAGCGAGAGCAAGACCCGCTGCGACGGCAGAGGCAATAGTTGACATCACTGAGATCGCAACATCAAACTTGATCCGCCAAGGGAGGGGCTTCCAGAAACTTCCGACGATAAACCTGGATAACGTTGATGTGGAAGAAAATAAGCCCATTATAAGCAAGCGGCAGGAGACAAAGTTGGTGGTTAGGGAGAAGTTGGTGGAAGCTGAAATTAAAAGATTAGTAAAGGAAGAGATGAAATTGCCAAAAAAGGGCCGCGGCCGTCCAACAAAACAGTCCGCCAAGGAGCGGGAAGAACTGAAGAAGACAATAGCCAGGGTCCGCAAGGCCGTTGAAGCAATCCGCGACGGGAAGAAACCGAAGCCACTAGCGAATCTCTCACCCGAGGAACACGGGAGGCTACTCGAGAGATACGACGAAATCCGGAGAGCGTTCGGATATAAAACAAGCGCAGAGATAGCAGCCGAGGAGAAAGAGCGCAAGCAAAAACGGAGGTTGCCGAAGAGCCCTGGCCGCCCACGAAAACTCCCCCAACGCAGTGATCCCGCAACGACAGCAGAATTAACAGCGATCGAGGACAAGATAAGGGATAGCCCGGGGCTCTGGGTCCAGGGTATGGAACACCCGCCCTGGTACTACATGAGCAATAAGAAGGCACTTCGAAATCTTGCCACCAGCATAGCTACCACCCACCCTGCCCTCCGCGTTGATCCGCGCGTAGCGCTTCAGCCAGAGAATATTCACGCCATCACCACGGAGGCAGCCGGCGCGGGCGATAAAGGAGGGGGAAGCGCGGCCCGGGCATGGGAGGAATACGACGAGCAATGGTCTCGCAGAAACGAAGTTAGATCTCGAGCGCAAGGGCGAGAAGACGAAATTTACGCTGTCCACAACAAACTTTTGAATGCCTATAATCGGCCATTCGAACCTTTCACTATCAACCCCGCAGAAGATTTTTACCCACACGTACTACCCCCCTCCCCCTTCCACCCACTCTATTACGCTGGCTAACTTTTATCCAGACGCCGATGACCCTCCTAGAAATTACCCCCAAAGTCCCCCACCCCTTCTTCTCCCCGTCCTCCCTGCGCGAGCGCGAGGATAACTGGCTAACATTTGAATGGCTCGTACGTCACTTATTCGTCCTCCGCGCTAGCGGCGTCATCAGCGCGCTTCGCAGTCTCGCTCCGGGCGCGGAGAACATACTAGCGGACCTGCCCCCCCACCAGCAAATCCCGCCAAGCAGGAGGGTGAGGTGCCTGGGGACGGACGATCTGGTGAACCTCACGATGGCGTGGAAGAGGTGGCCGTTTAAGGACCCCAGCACCCGGTTTCAGCAGCATATCGTGAGGGATCCCAGGGTGACCAAGGCTCCACACACTTGAGAGGATCGCAATCATAGAAGGGGGGTGGGATGGATGGGTTGGGTTGGGTTTATGGCGGGATACTCTCCTCCGGCTACTTTGGCATATCTATGCTTGTACTTAGATGTGGGGACTGGTGACGAGCGATGGAGCCTGAGCGCTCGTGAGGGTCTGCTCGAGTACATACATGACACTATGGGATATCTGTATTTTTTATCGAGATTCTTATCCCAATTACACAAGCGATATTTGGAAGTCTGGAATACTAACATTGTGGAAGTTTTACGCTAGCTCTCTTGATCGGCTCATTCCGGTCTCGCGCCCGCCACCCCAAGCTATCCCCAGCGGGCTCTCTACCCCCCAAAACATGGAATTTTAGTTGCTTGTACAGTACCTACAAGACATTTTTTGGCCGGACCCCCGCGTCCTCTTTGCCATGGCTTCTCCATAAGTTAGTCCGGGCAGGGGTTTCAGCTGATTTAGTCAAAATAATAATAATTGGAAACGCTGCTCAAGTCTCAAAATGCGAAACGGCTCAAGAGTGTACTAATACGGCACTCGTGCAACGTTGGCATCCCTCCGTCTCTTATTTGTCACGTTGTAGTCTCCCAGATTGTTCCGAGCTCAGGAATGGTCTACGGTAGTCTGCAGTAAGTGTGGTAATTTAATCGTGTATCACGGATGTTCTTTACTAGTCACGTTACAGGAGGAACTCCCCGGACATACTAATACTGTACCATCGGTGAATATGTCGGGTTGACATGAGGTCATTAACCGTGCTATAAACGAAAAAAAAGGCTGCGAAATCTGAACATACTCGCACGAGGAGATTGGATGGTCGAAACGGGTTGTTGGCGCTAGAGACTGAGGGTTTACGGGGACGAATGGTGGGGAAAAACTCTGCGAGGTGCTAGAAGGAGGCTTCTGGTGAATTTTTGAATTTTTGAATGAATGAGTGTGAAGTGGATCAATTTGGGCAGGCTCTGTGCACTACAGTGTCTAGGGCAGCCAGCTCGGTCGCAGGGCAAATCTTCACCAATACGGTACTCCTACAGAGGGGCCAAGGCTGTATCATAATGTAAGGAGGTTCTCTTCGCAAGGTTTGAGTCGGGTGTGTCTCTTTGTGTCCACCTGGAGGTTGTCCAGCTGCGCTGCACACGGTGTAAATTTACTGTACCGTTCCGGTGGTGGGGCTTCGGAGGACGAATGACTGGATTGGAGTGAGGAAGCGGATAGAATGGGTGTAAATTACTGATTGCATGCCTCCATAGTTGATACACCGGTAGTGGGGTATCCGCTATTGAGGGTGCTGCGTGAGCTCACAGTCTTGATGTATCGTACCTGTAAACCACCGTAGAACCGGAGAAGGATTCCCGCAGACAAAGCACCGCCGGTACCGTGATCCTTCGGGTGCGGCCGTCTCAGCAGCGGGGCGGTAAAGAATGGCCTGAGACGTTAATCCGCGGTTGGCGGAACGTGCCGTACCGGTCCCAGGAGGGCCAGGGCGCGGGGCCTTGGGGCCAGTGCTCTGAGGGTTGAGGTAGACAAGGCTGGTGTGCGGTACCGGTACTCGTGCAGTACTGTACGAGTACTGTACGTATGATACGAGTACTGTATGATACTGCAGGGGAGTGAGGATTGTGTGTGTGGCACTCTTTGCCTCGCAGTGAGTCTGGAAGGGCACGGCATCGCCGCTAGGGATATTTCGGGATTGTGGAAAGCTCTGTAGAACCGATTACCGGTATCGCAGAGAATAAGTTAACGAGCCTCTCTCTATCTCTCGGAGGAGTTCGCGTGGCGCTTGGAACCCTCATCACGATGATGCGGTGTCATGTGACCACGGTATGGTTGCCTGGCATCGCTAGCCCATCCCAGGATAGTGGATAGGTTGCCGTTCAGGGATTTTTTCAGTCCGGGGATAACTTGGTACACTACTGGTGGTCTGCAGTGCCGGTACGAGTACTCTGCTGTGCTGAATCGAGCCCGTTTCTTCCTCCCTTTCCCCCTCCCACTCAATCATCCATCCATCCATCCATCAACCACCTCCCTGACTGGATAAAACATCCTCTCCAATCCCCTCCTCCGTGCAGCTGCTACAATCAGAAAAAGAAAAGGGAAACAAACAAACAAATAGAGAGAGGTAAACCGTTTCATTGACCTTTTGGCAACCTTCCTCCTTCAACTCGCTTCGGAAATGAATGCCTTCCGCCCACCATCGCGTCGGATCACTTCTCCAGCTCCTTCCTCCTCCGCTTGGACATTGTCCTCCAGTCGTTCCACCCTGAGCTCGTTCCTCGAAGACGAATATGGCTACTACGGATCGATGGGCGGGACCACCGATGGATATTCCGAACTCTCAATGTCCTCGCAACTATCGTCATCGTCCATAGAAGTCCATTCCCATTCCGCTCCGTCCGTCTCGCCACCCCACGCCTCCACAAAATCCTCAGCCGGCAGAGTGCAGGGACCGAGTTCAACAACTGCCGGTGTGAAAGAAAACGAGCAGACCGGTATCCCGTCGGATGTTCTCCCGCGTTTGCAGGTCCTTCTCAAGAACCAGGTTCTAGTCTTCCTGGAGGGGGTCGAATATGACGACTTGCCTCTCGGGGCGATGCTTCATAAACACTCGTACAAACTCGCCGCCCGTAACGAGGAGATACTGGAGGAGGTTCGCCAGGAGGGTCGCGCAATGACTAGCGAGAAGGCTCACCTCCGGTATTTCAAAGGGCTTTATCGTATCATACGGAAGTCGCAGTTCTCGGGCGTTGGAGGAAAGCTTTGGGGATTGTGGAAATTGGAGACCATTATCGCTGAAGCCTATAGAAGGTCCAGTATTGATCCGGCTATCTATGGTTACCCGGGACTGAGCAGTAGCGGAGACGATGACGATATGGATGACAGCGAAGCTGACTTGGGCAGTGATGAGGATGGGGATGACGGCCTAGATCTCTTTGGCATTCAAGATGATACCGACGACACCGATGACCCTTTTGATTCGGATGATACGGACGATATGGATGACATGGACCAGGAAGAAGACCATCCAATGATAAATGCGGGCGGCATAGGGAGTGGACCGATATATGGCCTTCAATTTGAACGGCTCTCGGGCCGAGGTTTGACATTACTTCTCGACCTCTTGAGAGAGTTCGCTCTTAATCGCTACCTTCTTGCCGCCTATAAATCCATACTCGAGCATGAACTTGCACGGCCCGATGAGATTTCTGAATTGTTTGCACCGAAAAAACTTGCCAACTCTGCTGCTGCCATTCGCGCGGTACGAGTGAAAGAGGCATGCATCATCTCTTATATGCAGTCCTTGACTTTTCTTTACAAATTGCAACTGCTGGTTGAGCACGAACGAAAGGATCCCGAAAAGTACTGGGATAAGGACTTTGAACACCCTGATCGCGAAGATGAGCCCTTATCCCTGCTCTGGTCGAAAAGCATGATGACCATGATGATGACCCATTTCCATCGCGAAGAATCTGATAGTGAGAGGTACTGGCATCGGCATGGCTTGTATCATGGTCATTACCAGGAGGATTGGTCATACAAACTCATGTATATGACGAATTACTTGCGTTTTGCCGAGGCCACAGTACACGATTGGTTTGCTGATCCCGGCGCACAAGAATGGGAGGGTCGTGAGAAGCAGGTAAAGACGGAAAATAGATGTTGGCTTTCTGAGTTTGGGGGACGGTTGAAGACGATACCTTCCACTAAGATGTATGGCAACCGTGCTGCCATAGTGGACTGGATGGAGGGCTTTGAGAAGGAGCTGGTCCTGGATACTTCTGTTAGCGATCTTGAAGCAAAGGCTCTAGCGGGCGAGTATTTCAAGTTGGTTGATATGGGGGACGAGTTGGGAGATGCTACAACCCTGATAAAGCGCTATGGGGGGTTTGTTCGCAATCCCTTTTTTTGGTCTCGTAATATAACTAAATTTAATAGGGCCATCCATATCGGCCGGAAAATTGCTGGTAAACCTGTCACTACGGTACTACGCCCGGGACAGGACAGGACCAGATACGATAGGAGTGTAGACTACGGTCATATCATGGACTATATCCACCGCAAGATGGTACAAGCCAGGTTCTCTCATGTGGATAAGAAAGCGCTACAGAACGTGGTTTTCACTTTTCGAGGGATTCTACCAACCCTCACTCGTGAGGATATGAGGGAACTAGTTCACACCTTTGGCGGGTGGGTGCTGCTGCGGATACCTCATCACGAACGGGGCGTTAATAGTGTTTATAGGTTTGTCGATGAAAATGTCACCTCTCGAATTGATTACGTTGTTATCGGAGTCATGAACCCATTAGACAACCTGCAGGCCTGGAACCGGGATATGAGAGGAATTGAACAGCTAGGGATCCGCAAAATCGACGAGGACGGCTTTGCCGAGCTTCTGCTGAAGAGTCAACCCTGGCTCAGGAACGGCAAGAGAAAGGCAGCTAATGGGTCGGCTGTTGGGGAGGTTTTCCAGCCCGCCAAAAGAAGGAGATTGAAAATACCTCTGTCGTTGCCAGATCACTATTACCAGATATGAGTTTCCTTGGTCCTTATAGGCATCTGTTTGGGTTTTTCGCCTTCATTTCGTTTCTCCTTGTCTACCTGTTGGTTGTAGATTGGTTCGGAGTTGCCGGCTTTATAGTTGCATCTGGATTGCTTTCTTCTTTCCTTGTCTGGTTTCTTGGAGCTCTGGTCTGGGGGGTCTAGGTACCGATTTACGAGTTGTACTATTTTTAGTTGACCAAAATAGCAACGGCTTTTACCAGTTTTGTTTGATCATGAGGGCTTGCCGTACAGTACTATAAGTAGGGAAATTAACGCCGGTGTGGGCTGTTTGTTTAGGGCTGTTTTTGTAAGCTGCTGTAGCGAAGAATATCCTGTTGGCCTACAGCGTTAACCTACACGGTGCGGGTTGCGCGGTTCAGCGCGGGTAGAGAGGCAGGATTGCCTGGCCGATGGCGACATGCGCGGTCACTCGTGGGTTGAAATTCAGCACCTCTGTTGGGTGACAGGGCAGAGGTTGGATCACACCAGAGTTTAGGGTTTCCAAGTACCGCACCCACCGAGACTAGGGCCCTTGCCTGCAAGGGATACATTTCAGCTAACCTGGACGGGCCCAAGTGCCCATCATACCACGGGGTGATAGTAGGCTCAAAAGCCAATATTCTTGTCATCGGCGCGATCTGGGTTGTATCCTGTAATCGGCGGGAGGGCACCGGGTGGACCTACTGTAAATTTTTGCTTCTCAAGAGGTCGTGTATCATAGACCTCCCCTCCTCGGTCCTCCGATACCTCTCTCCTTCTCTCCCTGCGCTGGCCGGCACTGCTTTTTTGGCTCTCTAAAGCTGCTAAGAGGGGGCGATGATGGTGGGATGGGTTTGCGGTCGGAAGAGGTGTTTCAATCTAGAAGCAAGTATAAATCATATTTGGAATCGGCCATTAACTTAGATGATGGTCGTCTGCTACAGTTCTAATAAATCGCTAACCGGAAAAAGAGGAAAAGAAAGGAATCGAAGCAAAAGCAAAAGCAAATGCAGACAAGATCCAAACCCAGTACCATCCCCTCCTTCCTAGCGGAAGAGGTACCTCACAGCAACGAAGATCCCCGCGGCAATTCCCAAATACCCTAATGCACTCCACCCACCGGAACAATTTGGCTCATCATCCTCCACGCTCCTTGGAGTTCTCGGATACGGGGGTCGCGGTGGTGCCGGTGCATTCCATTCAAGATCTCCGTGATGATAGTGCCGTGATGCTGTTGCCGTGCCATAGGAATTGCTGTATGTTCTTGGTGGGGGTAGAAGTGCGCTTTGTTGGGTCGGAACCGGTAGCGGTAGGCGGGGCGGGGATTGGGGTAGGTGGACGACGGGTGGTCGTTGCCTCCTGGCCGAGATCGGGCCGCCGGCGGTACCACTTCTCTCTTTGTGGGCTCTGAAGTGGGGCTTCAATTGAAGCAGTCTCCCCATCAGCAGTACCATCATGTCGTCCGGTAACATGCAGGTCGATCTGCGGTCCAATCTAAGTTGGCCTACTTCGACATCAAATGGATCCAAGCGAACATAGCATTTCTTGGTCAACATCGGTGGAAACCCTACTATGACTGATAGAAGGACGTCATTGTCGGGGTGTGGAGCTGCTCCAGCTACATTGAGGGGCAGATATTCTGCTCGCATACGCAGGTGGTTATTGTTCGTGTCCGGGAACTTGTCGGAGAGAGTTCTACCGCCGAAGGATGTTATCTGAGAAAATATTAAATCCTGGCTAGATAGAGGGGAGAAGGGGGGAGGGGTCGGACTACATACCACGACAGCTTGAACTTTCCCCTCTCTTTCCGCCCCGAGGACCAGAGTTGGATGGTTGAGTTTTCCGGAGTCGAAACTTAAGCTTTGGGACTTTGGGGGGTGCTCAAGCCAATAAACATGCCCCACCTGGGTGGCGCTTGACATGGCTGCTCGCTCGCTTACTTTTTTTGCTCCTATGCTATCCTACCAACCTGCACATCGACCTAGTTAGAGGTATCGTAGCTCCCCCTACTCCTACGTGGGGATTACTTTAACTTATAGCTCTACTCCACCATACAATAGATTTCACCCTTCCACCACTTGCCCCACACACCGACAGGGGCGCTTGCAGGCGGCCGTACCATATCATATCATATCATAAAATAGAATAGGGGGGGGGATTAGGCAACAGGCCAGAGGAAACCCATCCAAACGGGGAAGAGAGAAGTGTGTGTGTATACCGGTACGGAGGTAGAACACCTAAGTTTTGTATATTTTACTAGCAAGGGGGTGCTCGACTAGAAGGGCAAGGGGACGAATTGAGTAATATTCGCCACGGATTGGGTAACTTGCGCAGAAAAGTACCCGGTTTGGGCATCTTACCCTTGCTCGCCGAGCACCCCCCCGCTGGTGAAACACACAAAATCCAGGGGTTGTACTCGAGTACGAGTATCTCCGTAGGGTGGGGAGTATCCAAAACCCCTGGCCACGGGGTGGCTTGCGTGCAAATATCGAACGCATCGCGGTTCCAAACTTCAAAATAGTAGTCCGGTTGACTGCCCCTCTGCCAATGGGAAAAATCGAGGTTGGGGAAGGCCGGGGGGGGTTACACACTTCCCCCTTTCCACGGCTGCTGGCACCATAGGATGCAATCCTGCTACGGTACTAGTATTGGTACGATACAAACGTTGGCCTCACCTGTTACGAGATAGATTTGCCGTTGAAGGCATGGGAGGGGGGGGTTCTATGGTACCGTATGATACCCTCTTTGAACCGTTATATCTTAGAATTGTGGGAAGAGATCGGGAAGATTGTGGAGGGACCTAGTGAAGAGTCGGTCCTGGAAGTTTTGGGCGCCAAGGTGTACAAGTATAGTACAGTACCGGTATTGGAAGAGTGATGAGAGCTACCGTATTGCAAAAATGGAGTACGGTAGTGACCGATAGTGGTACGATCTTGGTGACAAAATTCGTGGCCTCCCCCCCCTCACACTTTACATCAAAAATGTGCATTTTTCAGCTTGCAACTCTCAGCCTTGTTGCTTTCGTAAGAAAAATAATAAAATTAAGATTGGCCAGAGCACTTTAGAGTCATCTGGATATTCATTCTTATTGATATGTGACGAGCTCAGTTGGTTGGTCGGTCGGTTGTGCCCCATAGCTCAATGCCTGGAATAATGAGGACAGGCCAAAAGCACTTGGATTTTATGTACCAGTAGGTTTGCTGCACGGTACACACACTGCAACGTGATCCAATCTAGGCGTTAAGCTCTCATCTCAGCTTTTGTAGTGGAATGGAATGGAATGGACAGTACACCATGGTACCAACTTCGTCAATCATACCCCATATTACATTCGGTTGAGCGGTGAGTGTTTAAAAGTAACTTGACCATCTTTGGCGTAAAGTGGTGGTGGGGTGCACGAATGCTGTCAAGAAGATTTTATCATACTTGTAACGCTCCTACAGGTGTGCACGCACCGTAGTACCGGTACTGTACTTGTAGGATACCGCCTCACGAATACTCTTTCTATTTTATTTCTCCAATAGTATGTACAGTGATTGGGCTTATGATAGTAAAAAAACTTGGGGGGGATTTCCTTCTTTTGAATTTTTACAAAGACGGTGGAGGGAGTAGGGTACGGTACTGTTCTTTTTGTATTTTGGTGGGGCGTAAGATCTCTGGCTACTCCACTGTACCTGTATCATACCGGTACTACCGTATTTACCAGTTTTCCAGCGTGTCGGACGGCATAGTACGGGTACGGTAAGGAAAGAAGGGGGAAAAAAGGGGGAAAGAATCAAAAAAAAAGTCGTCCAAGTTTGCGTGAATACCTATGATAGCATTTCAACGGAAACGCAACCTACCACCTACCTACCACCTCCCTCTCCCCAGTCCAGTCTCGTCCAGTCCACCACCTACGAGTATGATAGCACCAATCCTCGTCCAAGTCTCTATTCCGATTTTTCTCCCAAGAAACGGGTTTCATACCGGCACTGTACTCGTACAATACCTCCTAGCACTCGAACAAATACAAAATATCACATTTAGAAGACGGAGATATAATCTAGGAATACCGAACCGTGCAGTTGCAGTTGCAGTACAAGTAACAGTCGCAGCGCATGGTCCTGCGGGAGTATCCGAGCAATCCCGTCCTCGAGTACCGATACCACGCTTTTGCGCGTGCCGTTCCGCACCATCCGACCGATTGGGAAAACTGTGTGGCCACCGTAATGTAATTTACCGGTGCCGGCGTACTAGTACTGAGTAGTACTAGTGCATGTCTGCCTTGCTGGTTGTGCTTCTGGGATCGGCGCTTGTCGCGGCTGTAGTGTTTGTTCGTTCGTTTGTTGGTTGTTGGTTGTTTTGTTTGATTGGATGGCGGTGGATTGGCGTCGTAATTGTCATGCATGTCGCTGGTATTTGTACTGTACGAGTATGCCTGGGGTGAGCGCTAGTGATGTGGCTTCAGCAACTATCGTACTTGTCTCATGCGGCACGGTATCCTGCAAGTACTGCTCAAAGTTTGGAGTGGAGTGTATTGTACATGTACAGTAGCTGAAGCGGAAAGGGGTTTTTTTTTTCTGGAAAAAACAAAATGAGGGTGGAGAGAAGTCTGGTGGAATATTTATCCGTCGTACAGTACTGCGCTAATACGGTAAATTTACTACGGTATGCCCCCCACAGCGGCTCCACGATATGCCCCGGATGACCCACTCACGCTAGCGTACGGTAGGACGTTCGTTGGAATTGCCACTCCCGCCATGTTTTTTTTTTTTGTTAAATCCGCGGTTTATTCGTAGCTAACTACAGGAAAATCCATGGCAAGCACCCTAAGGCATGGCCTAAAAACCCCTTGTACAAATGAAACTTCACCCCCTACAAAAACCAATGTCCAATAGTAATCACCTCATTCCGCGCATCAATGAAAACATTTCATAAATCATGAAGCCAAATTGGCCAACCTCGTATAAGGAAAATCCTCCCCACCCGCCGGAAAGTTAATCCTGTTCTTCATTACATAAGAAATAAAACTCCCCATCAAGCGCAACCCCTTCTTCCCGCCCTTCCACAATTCAGAATCAGGCAAAATATCAAAGGTCTTCGGGTCTTCATGCAGGCGAGCCCCGGCTAACGCCGGGCAAGCGACCACATGTTGAAACGTCTCTTCTCCCACCTCACACCTCCTGCACATCGGGTCTCGGTCCCGCATGGACCAGTCTGTCTGCGCATTGAGATAGCTCTTATTTGCACGCATCTGGTGCACCCGCCCAGCCTGAAATTTCGGGAATGTCATAAATGACCAACATTCCCGGTTTGGTGGCCTATAGCCGTAGTATGGCGGGTAATCCCAATCTACCCACCTCTTGTGCATCTTTTTCCTAACCTGCTCCCGAACCTTGAAATGCCCTTCGGCATCCTCCGGTTTGACCATCATTAGGCGCGTAGGCTTCATCGGAATGGGGCCCTCCCCAAACACCGTAGTGGCTATCGCGGCAACCTCACCCAAGGGTAGTCGTACCTGGGCCGTTGTGTTCGATGTCGACCGTCAAGTCTTTGGTCGCATCCCGCCCTTGTTGTTATCGAAGGCCATCTTGCGGTTCCCTGGGTACCTATACTCCCTCTGTACCGGGAAAGCCGCTGGTAACATGGCCGTGGCTAAGTTGTTCTCTGGTATCGCCGTCGTCACTCTGACAACCGACATCATCCTGACCTGATCCACGTCCACCCTCATCGGCGCCAAACAGGCCTCAGACGAGAGCACCGTTACATCGGTAGCGTAAAATGCATTAGTGACCCATCGCAACACCCTATTCCAAAAGGTCTGCATCTTCTTCAGCATCGTTGCGGACGGCTCAAGTACCTCCGCTCCATACAACATGGTCAGTAACAATATCCCCTTCGCCAGCCTCCTTGCTCCATATGGCGAGAGTCCCTTGCCCGGCATCGATAGTCTTCGAATCCTCCAGAAAGCCACTTGGGCCAGCAACAACCTTTTCGTAAAGTGTGTAGACGTCTCCCCGTTATCCGCCAGCCAGTATCCCAGCCACTTCACCACTGTCCCAGCCGGTTGAACCCCGTGCGCCTGTAGCATGATCTCATCCTGTGCCCGCGGTCCCTGCTGCCTCCGCGCGCGCCAGTACATCATTTCAGTCTTTGCAATATTAAAAGAGAGGCCCAGGCCCTGGGCCACCGCCATGACCCGCTGCCCCCTCTCTTCCAGCATCCTCGCGTTTCGATACCAAGAGGTGGACGCCACAGTGATCTGGAAATCGTCCACGTAGGATGACGTGAAGGTGTCTGCCGTGTCGAAATCTATGTGCAGTGGACGCACATATACCACAAACAGTAGCGGCGATAATGGTGAGCCTTGTGGTATGCCGAGGTCAACCCTGTTACTTCGTCTAGGACTGCCCGGATATGCCAATGTGATTTCTCGCGTCGAGATGAAGTCGCGAATCCAATCCGTGAGGTACTCGGGGATCTTCTCGTTCCATTCCAGAGGCTGCATTAGCTTTCTATGGTCGACATTATTGAAGCTGCCTTTCACGTCCATGAAGACCGTCAAGACCTTCTTTCCCGCAAACTGCGCCTCTCTAATCCAGTGTTGTAGCGACATCACTGCATCCGCCTTGGACCTCTGTGGCAAGCTGCCGGTCTGATTGATGCAGTACATCCCGCTCTCGTAAGGTACCTTCATTAGCCTCGCATTAACTACCCTCTCGGCTATCTTAGAGAAGGTTTGCATAAGCGCAATGACCCTAAAACTTGCGCACTCCGTATAGTTGCTCTTGTTTGGCTTCGGTAAGATCACCCCGATCGACTCCTTGAGCATCGGCGGGTGTGTGCCCCACTCTAGCATATCTTCCACCAACGCCGGGATGATCTTCTCGTTTATCCCATGGATGCCTTTCCACACTCCATATGGGACCTGATCAGGCCCTGGTGCGGATTTGTTGCTAACCTTCCTCAATGCCTCCCCAATCTCCAGTGGAGAGACCCTGTCGTCCCTCTCTAGCAAATGTCTCCGCGCCTCGCACCTGCCCACCGGGTCTGGATTGGGGGGGAAGAAGTGTCTCATAATCGCTTGTTCTGCCACCTCCGGACTCCCAGCATCTCCCCCCGGGACTCTGTTCAGCACTCTCTGTTTAGTAAACTGATGCGCTGTCCACACATCATTCTTCTTTGCTGTGGCCAGGAATTTGTCCCAATACTCGCGCTTCGCCACCTGAATCGCCTTCCTGTACGTCTTCTTGGCCAACTTCCACTCTTCCACCCCGGCCCCATCCTTTTCCACCCTGCTGGCCGCCGCGGTGTATACCCTTCTGAGCTCCATGATCTCTGGCTTCCACCATGCCTTCGACCACCTCGTCGGTCTTTTCATCGGAGCCATGCCTTTCACCAAGTGGATCAGCCTGTTCAGGTTGTCCTGAAACCTTTCCACTGCGTGGGCGCCCTCCGTAATACGTGTATACCCCTGCATCCCACCGAAATAGCCTTTTAACGCCTCCTCAATAAGGGGGTTGGGTTTCCCTTTATCGACGCGCCACCGAATCTGGTCCCAATCGGGAGCCGGTCGGGCCAACTCTATCTCCTCCGAGTCGATATATGTGACTATCGCGATGTGATCGGAGCCAGTCCTTTGCATCAGATCCCTCCATCTCAACACCCTCCCCAGCAACTGCGCATTTGCCAAGGAGTAGTCCAGGACGGAAGGCTGGTGTATTGTAGGATTATCCGGGAACCTTGTATGAACCTCCGGCGTATTCAGTATAGAGTACCCCGCCAATGCCGCCACCCGCATATACAGTTCGCCACGCCTCCTCTCGCCATGCGCCAGCTCCCTAAGCGGGTCCGTCATCGTGGTGTGTACGTTCAAGTCTCCCACTACCAACGTGGGTTCATTCGTCTCCCTAAACAGCTGCTCCGCCGGGACCGTGTCTGAGCCCCCCAGCTGCCTGTTATATGCGTTAATCAGCCCAAATGAGCGACTGGCCCCAACCAAGTTGCCCCTCCGAGCGAAAACCCTCAAATACAAATAATCAAAACTTCCCGGTACCACCACAAATGAAACCTGCAGCAGCAACCTTAAAGAAACATAAGTACAAACTCTGACCTTATCAGTCCGCTGAAACAAACACTCAAAACCGGGGGCCCGCAGGGGCTCCCCGTCGTATAAAGGTGGGTCTTGCACACACACAAAAGAAATCCTAAAGTTCCTAACTATGTGAAATAAAGAAATAAAAACATCATTGCTCCCTCGGCAATTATGCTGTACAATGTTCAACTTCACTCCTTGCGTCGTCTCGTCACCTGGGTCACCCGCCATGACGGCCAACTGGCCTAATCTTTGGTACCAGGCCTACCAGCTTCGGCTAGGGACGCCATCCGCTGGTCATATCTCTGCTTTGCCTCCTCCTTAACCCTCTGTCGCTCGGGGCACTCTCCACTCCTTGCGGAGTGTTTGCCCCCGCATGCCGGACACTTGGCTGGGGTCATCAGGCAGCAATCAGGTATTCTTCGCTTGTATCCAGCACACTTAGGCTGGTGACATTTGTGGTCGGCTTCCGCGTGCGGCTTGGTGCATATAGGACACAAGTCCACTGGTTCGAGGCATCCTACCTTGGGGTGTCCGAATTTCCAGCACCGAGTGCACTGAGTCGTAGGAGTGGCATGTCACATGATCTTGGCGTCCTTAAACTTTCCCAGTAGGAGTACCTGGGGGGTAACTTTCTCAGCATCCGCTTCGGGCATCCGGACCACAATCGAAGTCGCCTTCTTTGTCTTGCGGTCCCCCATATCCTTGCGGAGGAAACGTGCATTCGTTATGCTAATGTTGTGTGCGATCTTGAATGTCTTCTTCATCTCCATGTCGAGGTCTGCGTTATTGTCGGGGATGGCGTCAAATGGCATGCTGTGTATCAACACTGCCACGTCCGTCGGGGCTCTCCTGAAGTCCAAGTATTTTGGCTCCCCTTCCCCTATCGTCGCGTTTAGAGCTTCCGTCATCTTGTCCAAGTATCGGGCATAATGACCGGAATCGCTGTTCGGGGGAGTCGTGATGGTGATCGTACCATTCCACTTGTTGGAAGCAACCTGTAGATTGGTGGGGGCTTTGCACTCGCAACGAGTAAGGACATCTGCGATTGCCATTGAGATCCTGGCCTCCTCTCGGCTAGGGTTTCCCAAAGGTTTGGATGCCACCCTTGTCGCAAACAGTTTCCTTGCCGCCGCCGTCTTCTTTCTAGCCTTCTTGGACTCTTGCACCTTCCACCCGTCGGAGTCCGTCCTGCCGTCTTCCTCTTTCCCTTTCGGGTTCTTGGACTGTGGTGGCTTGGGAGGGGTCGGACCCTCGCTTGCCTTCCTCTTCTTGCCTTTCTTGGGGGTCTGTGCCGTCGCCGCCGCCTTGGCATACGTCTTATCCCCGACGCTTGTCGCTTTCTGGGCGGGCCTTTGAGGCACGGGCCCACTTTTCTCCGCCTGTTGATCTTGGACCATGCGTGCCAGGTTTTGAACCATCACAGTCAGCTTCTTCACCTGGGTGGCCAGGGCCGAGATCATCGCCATCATAGTCATGTCTTCATTTCCCAGGTCCGAAACCTCAAGGTTGTCGACCAGGTCCATGATCGGGGTATGCTGTCCAGGTCCGTGCTCAGCCAAAAGGGCCGATGCCATCTTTTGCACCTGTATGAAGCTAGTGTCTGACCCCCCCTTCCCAGCCGGTGTGGGTGTCTCAGGGAGGGACTCGGTATCCATCTCCTCACTATGCGAAGCCATGGCATAGTGGGATTGGTGTGGGTATACGGTCCTCGTGGAACTTGACAGGTCACGTTACACGAAGTTTGGAGATAGTTGTATGGTGTTGAAAAAAGTGCAATTTGCACTTAGGAGGAAAATAGGGGGAACGGAGCTTGGCCACTCCCGCCATGCAAGCTCTGGTACTTGTACTCGAGTACTTGTAGTACCGGTATGTCGTATTTTCTTTTATCTGTCTCAGTCGGGGGCTGGAAAACGGTGTTTTTTCTTCTTCCCCCAACTGAATCCAATGGAGGTTCCGGACGTCCTGGGGTGAGATCCGTTCACTATTTTTAGCGATATTGTACCCGGATAGTACTCGAGTACTCGAGTACTGGTCCTGCTTTCTGATCTACCGGTATGATACTCAGGTACAGTACGGGCCGGATCACACACATCTCCCCCTTCATCTCACTTACCAGGTACAAGTATCCGTCACCCCTGGGATCGCGTTGTGGAGATTTGCGGGTAGCCTACTCGAGCACTAAAGTTACTGTACCGTACGGTAACTTTACTTGTAATCGTAAAAGGTGTGATTGGGTGTGTAGGGTACCGTAATTGGTGTTTCAGTCGCGGGGATGGGGGTATATGCTGTGTGCACGCACTTGGAAGGAGGGAGAGAGATTTGGAAAGAGGAAAAGGGTCAAAGTTATCCTATCACACGGTTATGCATTCTACATTCTCCGGATCCATCCATCTAGATAACAGTATCTCAGGCCTTCAGCAACGCCTTCACCTCCTCAATCTGCCTGACAACGCACTCCTTCGCGGTGCCGCCGACGGCACTCCTCATCTCAACGCTGCGCTCAAAGTTAAAGACCTGCATGACATCCTCGTCGAATTTTGGGCTGAGCGTCCTGAGCCTGTCAAGGCCTAGCTTATCGATACCGGAGAGGCCCTCCTTCTCCGCCAGACTCACGGCGGCGCCGGAGATGTGATGCGTTTCGCGGAAGGGCACGCCCTTGCGGACGAGGTAGTCCGCTAGATCCGTTGCCAGCATGTCCATTGTTAAGGCGGCGAGCATTTTCTCGCGGTTGATGGAGAGGGTCGACAGCACACCTGTGGCGATGCTGGTGGAGTCTAGGAGCGTGCGCGTGGTGTCGAAGAGAGGCTCTTTGTCCTCCTGCAGGTCCTTGTTGTACGTGCTCGGCAACGCTTTGAGCGTGTACATGAAGCCAGCCATCTGGCCGAAGACCCTCCCGCTCTTGCCGCGCAGGAGTTCCAGCGAGTCCGGGTTCTTCTTCTGGGGCATCAGGCTGCTGCCGGTGCTGTACGCGTCGGCGAGCCTGATGAAGCCGAATTCCTGGGTGGAGTAGATTACGAGGTCTTCTGCCCAGCGGGACATGTGGCTCATGAAGAGGCTGCCCCACATCATCGTCTCGGCGACAAAATCACGGTCCGCAACGCCGACCAGGGAGTTTCCGATGACGCCCTCGAAGCCGAGCTCCCTCGCGAGGAAGGCTCGGTCTACAGCGAAGGGGTTGCCGGCTAGCGCGCCGCTGCCGAGCGGGCAGCGGTTCACGCGGGCGCGAAGTTGGCGGAGCCGGGCGAGGTCGTCGGCGAAGTAGTATGCATGACTCATGAGCCAGTGAGACCAGCGGATTGGCTGCGCGCGCTGGAGGTGAGTGTATCCCGGCATGATTGCGTCCAGGTCTGCCTCCGCACGACCCAGGTGTGCCCTGACCAGGTCTACCAGCGCGGACTCGATCTCGTCCAGTGCATCTCGAAGCCAGATCCTTGTGTCCGTTGCTACCTGGTCGTTGCGGCTTCTCCCAGTGTGTAGCTTCCCCGCGATGCCCTTGCCGATTAGCTCGCCGAGACGTCGCTCGTTGGCAGTGTGGATGTCCTCATCAACGCCGGGGATTATGGCGAACGTGTCGTTGGCCCATTCCGCGTGCACGAGGTCCAGGCCCCGGTGGAGCTCGCTAAGCTCGTGCGCGGTGATTATGTCGCGTTGGTGGAGCGAGGTGGCGTACGCTTTTGAGCCCAGGATGTCGGCTATGTACATGCGTTTGTCGTAGTGGATGGATTCATTGTAGGTTGTCATAAGCGGGTCGGTTTTGCCTGGTGGTCGGTTCCTAATCAGCCATTTTTCAACGGGGAAGGGAGAGTGTGTATATGAAATGGGTGGGCGGTATACCGGTGAAACGGCCCCCCCAGAGTTTAGTCGTATCCATTGGGAAGAATTGACGTTCTGTTATGGATTAGCTCTTTATTCTATTTTTTTCTCCTCCTCGACTTCTTCGCCAAGTGGTGGAGGTGGCGGAGGAGGGACGGCTGAATCAAGAGGTGAAGTTTAAGACTCGGATGTTTGGGAAACTCTTGTGACCTGCCCCGCATGCCAAGAAACGCTTCCGCAATGTTGTGCTCAGGTGTTGTTCAGGGGAGTTGGGAGACATAAATTTAACCCTTGACTGCATACTCGAGTAGAGATTTGTATGGGATCAGCGGAAACAGTTTCCGATTCTTACCAACACACCCCAGACCCGGCATCAACCCAGAATCACAGCAACTCACTCAGTCGTACTATTAATGATTGTCATACTCGAACTCCCCAGTCCCAGCAATCCCTCATTCTCCATCGCCCTTACCCTTATGGTGTTCAGCCTTCTACTGCATATGATACCTTCCAGTCCACCCTGACCATGCTCCGGTACTCTTTCTTCCTCATGACTCCTAAACTCACAGTCTTCGGGGCCTTCGGTGGTCGGATATTTTGATGCTTGGGGCGTAGGCTCGGTTTCTTAGAGTGTTTGTAGTGGTGCGGGGGGTAGGCGTGGGGATGCTTGCGGGGTAGAGTGCTCTAGTAATTGGGGCGGATGTAGGCTTAGATTTGGTATTTCTAGTTTTGTTCTGTTAGGAGTGCAGAGGGTGTGTGAACAGTGGCTAGGCTACCAGTATTATAGAGGCGGGGGTTAGGGAGTGAGGTTGTGTGGCTAGAGAGGTGGTGGCGGGGTCTGTGGGGTATGTACGAGTATATATTGTGGAGCTGAGACTCGGCCGGGTGTTCTAGTACTGGTGGTATAGGTAGTCTACCGTATGAGAGGCTGGTTTGGGATGGAGGTGTTGATGTCAAGTGGGGAATCTCAGTTAAAGCTATTGTCTACCGTGGTGTCATGGGGGTCATTCTGTCTTTAGCATTGATTCTTTGGGTGCTGTAGTGGGTTGCCCCTAGTGTTCGAGGTTGGATGGATGAGCTTTGTCGTCAACTAAGAATCATGATCGTAGGATGAGGCTTGATTGAAGAAACACCACCGAATCATCCAACTAGAAGACTCGGCGGGTGTAGTATAGACACACAATAATGCCCTCAAAACTAAACCCTCAAAGCCCAGCTGGTGAAAAGAGTCAAGGAAATTCATGTCGAAGGAAAGGGGCCTGCCGTAAGTTATGAAGGAATATGACTTATCCCGGGGAGCGTTCAAATCTCGGCTGGAATCGCCGATGTGAATTCCCCGTTTTCGAGCATCGCGGAAATGAAAGGAAAACGATAGAACGTAGTTGTCGTGAAGAAAGGCTTGAGAAGAAATTCTTAGGAAGGGGGGAAAATCCAGCCAAAAACCCCCCCCCCCCCATTGGACAAGAACGAAAACCGCCAGGCCTGATAATACGAATGGAAAATTGTCACAAATTTGCGCCGTCGTCAACACAGGTACCGTATCCTACCGTTAACACATCACAGATTCACACTCTGCTCTTCACACCATTCCCCGTCCCCGCCTTCCTCTCCCGCTCCAATCTTTTTCGCCTCTCTGCTTCGGTCTCTTCAGTGTCCGCCCTGGCCAACACGGGGATAGGGCTCCTATTTGTGGTGTCAATAACACTATCGTCATAAGTCATGCCACCGATGAGCCTTGCTTCCTTCCTCGCTTCAGCAACGGAACTGGTGGTGGTGCTGCTCGCAGGGCTATTTCTGCCCTGCGCCAAGGACTCCCTATCACTCGGTACGCTGGTGTAACCTCCATAAGAAGGGTGCGGCGAGTAAGGTGTCAAGGGCGTTAACCTCCCTCCGGCACTACTGACGGCAGAGCCCGAGCGAGGAGCTGGTAGCGTATCAAAGTACCCGCCCGCGACACCCGCTCCGAGCCGTGCCAGACGATCAGCAGCAAGAGAGTTCGCGTCAGCGTTTCGGCGGTTGCCTTCGTGGCCGTCCTTGATTGCCACGGTGGAGATACCCGACATGGGCGTTGACGGCCCCGACGAAGCTTCCGAGTAAGCGGAGGAGGAAGGAGGGTATTGCGGTGAGGAAGGAAGGTTGATGAACGTCGTACTCATTTCGAGCTACTCGTTTTGGGACGGAATGAGGATGGGCAGAGAATTATTTTGCTTTTTGACAGGAGGGACGAATAAGTGGCCGGACTGGGTTGAGGGAGAAAGGGAGAAATAAGGTTAGAGTACTGCTGCACTCGCGCTGTGGATAAAGAAATCGGGATCCAAGAGCTTCGGGGGGCGAGAAGGGCAAGGTGGACGAAGACCCTGCCAAGAGGGTGCAACCAATTGCAGTGACCTCCGGTACGGGTATTCCGAATAATCATGATACCGGCAATGGAGTTCTGGAGCAGCGTGACATGTGCCAAGGCACTACGCCACTCCCGGCAAAGGGCCAGAGTTGTGGGTCAAGAGGGTGGTTCCAGTCCACATCAGGGCTTGCCCGGGGGGTATTCGGTAATTTCCATCTCTACCTTTATTCTTATTATCTTGAATAATTTTAGTTTTTTTTCAAGATCCACGTTTGAATAATATATATATATATATATATTTTTTAATTTTAGGGATAAGTGGACCCTAAACATCTTGGAGCTGTTTCTGCTGTGATGGCTACGGTAGCTTTTTGGTGGTCAGTTGGCCGGATGACCGAGAGATATTAGCCAATCCTTGCCCGAAAGGGAAGGTAGTGAATAACACCACATCCTTTCAAGGTCTGTCGTTCATTGGACGAACATCCGATGCGAATCCTGGTCGTGCGGGGTCTGCCATGAGCTTGCTGATCGGTGGAATTTTGGTGCTCCTGTCGGCCAATGGGAGTGGACGGAATGCCTCGGACTTTCCTCTAACGTCCCTGCGAATGGACAGTGCAAAAATACCCTGAGCGTTCGCGATCCCTGGATTACATCGGTACAGCGGCGTGTGGAGTTAGCGAGGGCACAGCTCTGATTTCGTTGTACAAGTACAAGTATCCCTTGGCCTACTCGAGTAGAGCTCGAGTGGTCTCGGCAGCGGGGCGCTTGTTGCCAGTTCCAGATACTCGCGCGGTCGGGTTGAAGTATGACGCCTTAAGCAGCTATCGGCGTTCCCATACAAAGTGTTGGGCTTCAACGCACTGCGAGTGGTCCGCCACACTGTGTTGGTGTACTGTACAGGATCCTGTGGGCTCGGGCTGTTTTAAAAACACCAGGAGGTATTGATGTCAGGCTTGCAAGTAATATATTGTGTATAGCCTGTCCTAAAGGGCTCTCTGTGCCGCTTGAAGGTACGGAACAACGGCCCGGGTTTATCACCAGCAAGTACTTGTACCAAAGGAAGTCTGATGGGCCGGAGTTTGTGGGATGGCCGATGCGAGTACTTCGTGGTGCAGTACTGTGTAGTATGATAGCTTATTTTCGGCACAATATTGCTTTGGGAGGCCTGGTTCTAGTGATCATTTAGTATCCTCACTCACTCCCATCACGTCCAGAGTCTCCGCTTTAGTGAGAATGCGAAATGGGGTCCACCATGCCCACATTGAAAATTTCTTCAGGGCAGGTACTAGTAGGAGAAGATCGAAGAGGACTGGGAACTTTTTCCACTCTGGTACTGCTTGGTCTCCACCCTCTTCTCCCAACTTGCCATATATTCCGCTGTTACGTTGCATCCATGTATTGGGAGCTCCCGGAGTGGAAGTCTTGGACCAATTGGATTGTGGATTGGAAAAGGCCTTGATGTTTCCGGGGATCGGATTGCTCTTTCTTCGACTATACTCGAGTAGGTTGTGCCAACTGCTCTAGCTCTGCTGGTAAAATTTTCGGGGACACTACTTAAGAGATGTACAGGAGGCTTCAGCCATTTGTGCAACTTCGGAGGGGGCCTTCGGATGCTCAACGGGCTGTGACGGCGAATTTCGATTGGCCCATACTTTCAGTCTACCTGGCTAGTTGCATCTGCAGGGTGCTGGCTCCTTACGCAGGTCACTGTTAGTAACATGGGTACGGAGGCTTTGACTCCCTTTACCAGGTATGCCTTTTATGCTCCAATGCGGCCCGGCAGCCACTACCTACAGCTTTCCAGTAAACCAAGCTATAGAGCCATTGAATCCCCACTCAACGTTGGGAGCCTAGCATCGATGCTGAGTATCGGGTCCTTCAATAACTTCCAGCACCACGCACTAATCTCCTAGGCGTGGAATAAGACACTCCCGCCTTGGACAAACCTGGAGTATGCTTTTATCCCAGCAGACATCAACCCTCCTCCCGAGATGAAGGCCAATATGGCGGGGGATTTGGCAACGGGTGCCACTGCAGTATACACGGCCGCATCGTGTAAGCCCCGGAGAGCAGGATATCCAAGGCCAGCCCACGTGACCCAGCACTACAAACACAGACTCGGCATATCCAGAAGTCGGGTACCTATGATACTAGTCGCTATTTCCAGCCAAAGGTCCACGATGTTACCCCACCTACGCCAGGTTCAAAGATAAATGCGATTAGCAGAGGGGCTATTAGTCCGAGGGGCTACATATTATGCTGGCGTAAAGATATCATACCGATGGATTTAGTGACATGGATCACCGCGGAACCGCCTTTCCTAACATGCGAGCCAAGACTGGTGAACACCGATGTCCGGGGCACAATCACCCCAGCTACAAAAACAGCCCTAGGATCAGAAACACTTGGCAAGGCTACCATAG